CCGTTTTTCCACGCGCGTCCCCGCCTGACCCTGGCGGGGCCGCGCGTAAACTCGGCCGCGCGGCCTCGGCCGCGGGCCCGCGGCCGAGGGGGTCACGTAGCTCACAGCCGATAGTAACATCAAGAAGCAGAACCCATCTTACAGACATGACGTTAGGCCTGAATTAATCCATAATATCGGTGCATGGAACTCGAAGGAGGGGACTAACGGCACAACCCCCGCTAACAAACGAACCACGGACACGTTTAACTTTTGGGCAAACTAGGTACTAAAAGGATGGGCTAAAACCGTTGAAGACTAGGGAATAGCTCACTCAAGGAAAGGACAAATGCACAAACCACGTACAACAGATGACCCAAAAAGTCTAGGGTTTAGGGTTTAAGAAAAGGCCAAAGGCAGAAACAGCAGTGGAGACAGGATATAGAGTACCTGGCAACCGAAAAACTGAGAGGAGCGAAGGTTAGAGAAAAAAAAAAAAAACATAGAAATCAAGGAGCAAGTTCACATGAGTTGTCTTATTATGATCAGGTAGAAATGCATAGAAACAATCCTTTGCAAAACCTTAGAAGCCAGCTCCAAACATCGGCTCTAGCTTTCAGGTTTATACGACAGCACTTAGCTGAGAGGAGCTAGGAGCTAGGCAACTCGTAGGATCAGGAGGCAGTGGATATTGGCTAGCCTAGGCAGGGGTAAGGGGTGGTACATCCTTCCCCAGGGAAGTAATCAATCTCGTCCACTCGGCCTCTCAGCCATAATGGTGAGGAGCGTGCGTGTGTCTTTACTGTATTCATATTTGACTTGCTGGAGGAATAGGAACCGGACTGTTGCTCCCCAGAATGGCAAGAGCCAGAACTAAGAGGTTCTGTATTTCTTTGGGGGAAAAAAAAAAAAAGTTAAAAAGTTAAAAAAAAAAAACAAAAAAAAAGCTGGCCTGCACCTTCCTTACTACAAGTCCAGTGACTACCCTTCTCCTGCCGCTGGGACCCTTGCCAATTTTTTCCAGGGATCTTTTGAAGTACTGGCAGGGATTGTCCGAATAATTTGAAAGGGCTCTTTGCTCTCTCTCTCTCTCTCTCTCTCTCTCTCTCTCTCTCTCTCTCTCTCTCTCTCTCTCTCTCTCTCTCTCTCTCTCCCCCCCCCCCAGCGTGTATACACACATCATGGTTTCTTCTTCTTCTTCTTCTTTTTTGCGCATCTGCGATCAGCGCAGCGCGCACCGCCCTGTGCAGCGCACTTCATTTATGTGTCGCAATGGGTACAACTCTCGTTCAGAATTTATTCGTCATATTTTTTTGCTGCCTGGTGAGACTAGAGAGGAGCTTCTTTCAGCACTGCTCAAGGAGAGAGAGAGTGCAGCCATAGCCAGTGAGAACTTGCTGTTCACTGGACAGTTTCTCGAGCCGATCGTTGCATATTGCTCAGGGAAGCTGGGCCTTCAATTATCCATCACCTTTTTCTGGTTTCATCAAGTATTTTGTATGTGACTATTCAATTCCGATTTTCTGTGGAGTTGAAGTCTAGTGTGATCTCATCTCAATCAAGTGTGTAAGTGAGATGATGACTGTAAGGTATCAGAGCGGGTAACGATGTTGACTCCGGACACGTGTTGAACTTGGACAGCCGCCACGTCAGCAAGATTGCCACATCATCAAGTGGGACATTAGCGCAGTATCTTGCCACCTGTTGAGTAGCTGTTTAGCGTTATACCTCATTTTGTGTGGGTTTTCAAAAGGAGTTAGACTGTGTGTGAGGAGGCGGGAGAAAGGTTGACGTTGGAGTGAAGAAAAAAAAGTGGAGAGAAGCTTCTAGGGTTATGAGCAATCGTGTTACACGGTCACAAGCTAGGGAGAGGCCGTACATGTTCTAGGAGCTACCGCCGACTTCAAGAAAAAAGACGTTTGTGCGATCAGGTACTACGATGACGACTTCCACACAACTTACTGCCGCTGAGCTACAGAATCAGAAGGATAACTTAGCGGCGAGGCAAGCAGATCTTGACACTCAGATCAAGGCAGCTCAAGATGAGGAGTTGCAGAAGAAGAACATTGCTGAATCTAGACAGATTGTGGAGGACAACAGCACAGATGTCGGCAACAGGTTGTCGGCATTCACTATTCTCCATGCTGCGGATATGGACAGGATTGAGAGGTTCACAGACTCCATGTCCAAGCACTTGATGCAACAGCTTGGAGCAATTGCAGATTCCTTGAAGGTCACACAAGTCTCAATTAAGGCGCTCCATACTTTCCCCTTGCCGCCACAAACTTCGGCAGGGCCTTCCTCTCCGCCTGCAGGAGGAAATCAGCAGGCCCATTAACAAAGGTTGAATATTAGATCTCCGGAAGCTTGCGCAGGACTGCCAGAGGATGATGTTGAAGTCTGGTTGCAGGAGGTGAAACACCCAGATTGCTTACTGCCGTCTCACAGACAGCATCACAAAGCTCCAGTTCGCCATCAACAATATGGAGGATGCTGCAAAGCTTGGGCCAACTTAGAAATTTCATCAGTTGGCGAGCTGAAAGATTATGTGCAGAAAATCTCTTGGGAAGGTTTATGCAATAAGCTGCTAGACCGGTACCTGCTACTGACAAGGGAGGATAGAGTTTATGACCGACTCATCGAAATTTCGCAACAGCCGTTCAAGGGATCAGTGGTTCATCTTGTGCAGGAATTTGATCGCCTGTTGCAGACCATCGATTCGGAGCTGGGGCAAAAGCCCATCATGCACTACTTCATGAGGGCGCTTCCCCAAAGATTAGCAACCCTCTTGGCCCCCAAGCGGAAGGAATTGTAGACCTTCAGGGCTATGGCGATGAGACTGTACGTTTGGAACAGGCCTTGAAAACCATTGGGGCATCAACAACCAAGCGTGGAAGAGGTGAAGCAAGTGGATCTTCTTTATTGATGCACTATAGGATAAGAGGAAAGATATGCACCGCAATTGTAAGATAGTTTATAAGATGACTGCATGTAAGATAAGTTACAAGATGACTGCAGGAGCGATGGAGAGAGGGGTGATGATCTCTCAGGAGAGAATGCAGAGAAATTTGAGCCTCAGGGAGAACAGGGTCAGGCTTTTTTTTTTTTTTTTTTTTTTTTTTAAATGGCCCCTTCAGTGCTAGTGATGCTGGTAAGAGCAGACATCACGAGCACCTGGGGAGAGGCTCTATCTATTGGTGAGGAGCTTCATCTGCTGGGAAACGGGTCCAATGTCCCTTACACAAACCGAATCTGGAACAAAACTGAAAAGGAAAGCAAGTGGAAGACTTCGGCCAGCATTGATTACCTTGGAAACCAAGGGATTGACTGGGCAGGAAGTTTACGGGGGGAACCTCCTCGCCCTGAACCAGGCGCCAGATATCTACAGCTGCAAACTAGTTCCTCCCTCACCTCACCCGCCTCTTTTACCTCCCTTCAGTCTTGGATGAAGGCTATAACTGCAGTTCCTTCTTGTCCCCTCTCTTGTACCATCCAACAGCCCTACGACCCCGTTTAGAAGGATAGATTTTTCTGCAGGTATCCCAGCACACCCATTTTATCCACTACCCCCCCCATACCAATCCATGCTTACCAAAGCCTGAGGTGGGGGAGGGAAAAGGTCGACAAAATCCGAGGCGGGCCGAGTCGGGAAGGAGGGGTCAATCTTAGTCCATTCTTGAAAACATAGATGGTAATCTCTTTCCCCGTCTCCTACAACATCCCCCCCCCCCCTCCCCCTCTCCCTCCCTTTCCACTATACCCTTGCAATCCACCCTCCTTGTCCCCACCCAGCCAGTCTTTTGAGAAGCTCTCAATGATTTGTCTGATTTCCTGTTTAGAACTTTAGAGTGTAAAAAAGTTGTCTTCTGTTTGACTCTTTCCCATTGGATAGTAATATCTTCTTGTATTTGTTCCTTTATTGAGTTAATAAACTCCGTTAAAAAAAAAAAAAAAAAAAAAAAAAAAACAGAATCCTGCATGACAGCCTGTTGTCTTCTGGCCGCCAGACGTGGCCTGACTAGAAAAAGTGCGACAGCGGGCACAGGTTGAAGTAAGGGTGTTGCATGGAAGCAGCACCATAGCCCAGCCTACATAGCTGGGCTTGGGCTTGGGAATGCCAGCGGGACATCGTGGGGACCCTTGGTTGAAGGAGGAGTGTGGGGGAGAAGACGATGGTGAGCATTGAGAGGGCGAGTACTTGGTGTTGGCTGAGGTCTGCATGGTCAACATCTGCATGTACTCTGGTCACTGCTGCTGACGTCAACTGGTTGCTTCGTCATTTTCGTAGGCTAGCATAGTGGTTGTATGATCGTAGTCTGGGCGCTGCGCGCCATTAGGAGGAAGAGCTTGTAAAAAAATGTTGATGGTGGCAAGAGAGGGCTTTCATTGGCAATCAAGTTCACTGCTTTGGTTCTCGTCTGGTGTGATATTAGAGGATTTCTGCTATATGGGCAGCTCACGACTATTTGGTTTTCAATGTGATGTTGCAATTTGAATTCTGTCATTTCACTACTGCTCATTTTCCTTGCACTAACCAAACCTGAGTCAAAAGTAAAAAACTATAAAAAAACTCAAGAAGTAATAAATTATCAATAACTGAAAAAATGGGTACGTATAATAAATAATTATACAGATAGCCCATATCTGGACCCCCCAAAAAAACAAAATGGCCCTGAAAAACCCGCTCCTCAGTGGGGAAGGGTCATAGACCTTTTTTTTTTCCCCCCTTGAAATTTGGCAGATCTGGACCTTCCAGACTGGACGTCTAGACTTCGGACTGAATCCAGACCGTCTGGACAGTGGTCCTGTCGTCCGGATCCTAGCCATGCATAAAACCCTCTTGAATACAGCAATAGCGTTAACTTGTAAGCGTTTTTTAAAAGCAGCAGGGCAACAGAGGAAAGGGAGGGGTTAGACAGGCAACGGTAGATAGAGACGATTGAGAGAGGTACATATAGAAGAGAGGAGAGGGACGTAGGCTGAGGGGTGCAGATAGGGGGTCACCATCAGGCATCACCTACCTGAGCTAGCTTGGCATAGATTGGGCCCATCTCTGGATGATAGCCACCATATGCATGTCCCAGAAGCTCCAGTGCCTGCACTGTTGGATGGTTCAAAATTCAAGCAGATCACTGATCATCATTCCATTTGAGAGGCAGAATGCACCCATAACAATTACTACAATCCCCCGTGTGGGCAATGTCCACACTGAACTGAAAATCCACACAGATTGGTTTTGAATGTAGAAGTCCAACATTATTTCACAGCAGGTTTGATGGTTGCCAAGAACGCAAAAAAGTGTCAAAAGACTCAAGACCCAGAAACATAGAATAAAAAATTATTGAGAGTGATTTAAAACAAAAGGATTAAAAAAAAGTCAAAAAATACATGACGATTTCAAGAAACATTAAACCACAAGTACTTCCTAAAGTCGTGCTCGTATACAAGCCACAATTTTAGGAGACGTACGGACCACTACAGGAGCGCCCAAATTCATCCGACTAGAAACATTTCCTCTATTCTTTTCCACGGCCGATAGCTAGGCCAAGTACTGGTGGTTTAAGAACTATGAGAACATCCAACAAATAGATGAGGCTAGAGCATGGCAGTGAACTTTCGCCTGTGTGGCCAATGCCCTCATAACAGCGAAAAGCTCTTGAAAAACAGTTTACAACTAGACAAATTGAATTGCAATCTAGACTTTGCACGTTTAAGAACGGGTTTCTCAAGATGAAACAGAGCAAAACTGAAAATGTGACCACATTTTTAAGCAACATTATTCACACCAAGACCATAAACAGTTAAGGACTATCAAAAAGAGAAAGACAATGGGAAGTCGGGATACACTTCCGAAAAACGAGAAAGGAGAGATCAAACACTGTAACTGCTTAATGACAAAACAGCAAAACAACTATGCTCTCCAACACTTCATATGAAAGGACACAGTTCAAGAGCAGAATGCAGGGAGGAGCGCAAGACAGAGTATATAAACCGATACTTTTCTCTATCCTCCTCACACACAGACACACAACCCACATGTATGGTATCGAGCATGTGTGAGAAAGTGTCTGCCTGTCTGTCGGTCCATCCATCTGTGTCCATGCCTGTCCGTTGCTGTCTGCCACTCTCTATCCGTCCTTCCCTACACCCATCTCCCTTTGCCCATCTCTTTGGCCCCACCATGGCCTCCATATCCTTCTTCTTCTTCTTGTCCTCGTCCTTCTCCTGCTTCTTGAGCTGTGGCAGAGCTGGCAGCAGTAGCTGAAAATATCCGTGTTCAGTGAAAAGGAAAGAAAACTGATGTTCATTCAACACCAACATAGACAAACAAGTACAATCTTATACAGAGTCCAGTTAGGCAAAAGCAAAGTGAGGAAGCAATTAATCTCCAAGACTGTGAAGTAAAAACAAAGGAAAAAAGGAAAAAAAGGAAAGAAAAAACTAATGTCCATTCAACTTCATGAGCTTTTGCTGGATTTGTTGGGGGGGGGAGAGGGGGGGGGTCCACACCTTCTGCAACTCTCTGATGGCTTTGGCGTACAGCTTCTCTGCATCATTGGGATCGCCACTGCCAGTTGGTTGAGGGCCTTCAGGGTTGTCGCCACCTTTTTGTGTTGATCCTTCACCTGCTTGGCCTCTAGATGGTCCTCCAGCCCCACCCTCAGAAGAGGCGTGCGCTTCTGCCGCCTTCCCATCTCCTGACTCTCCTCTTGCCTTCGCGTCTCCCATAAAAATGTAAACCTCTGCTAGTGCATTGTGGATGGGATAGTTTGAAAGAACCTGCCGTGACAGAGGGCACACAAGAGACATGAGAAGAATAGCAAACATCTTCCTTTCCAGCAGCCGGACAACCCATCACAAACAGTCTTGAACTTTTCGCTTATGGATTAACGCTTTTTAATTCATAGTGTGGGGCAATAGGTTGATTAAACCACCAGCAAGGTATCATGCCAGCTTTCTTACTTCGATGGAATGAAAAGGGCCCGCACAAAGTGAAACATACAAATTTGTGTGCCAAGTTTGGTGTTTGTTGGGGTCTTGGAGACGACTGTTTTGGCAAAAAGAGGTTAACAGAGCCAGTTTTTTCAGGGTCATTATAACAAACGCCCCACACCTTTTAAGCCAGACTTGTCACCAGTCCATAGAGTGGACACTGGACACCAAATAAACCAACAGCAAAAAAACAAAGTAAAAAAACGGATCAAAAGGGCCTTAAACCCCAAGGCAAAAGTGTGTTTCCATACAAAATTGAAAATTCGCTCTTTTCAGTTTTCAGGATTTTCAGGATTTTCAGGGCTGGCCAAAACAGTCTAACAAACACCAAACTTGGCACACGCAGACCTTCACCAAAAATAAAACAGGGCAAAAAAAAAAAACAAATGCACTTTTCAGTGTTAGGGGTGTTAACCTGGGTCTGAAAAGTGGGGGTCCCTGTTAACCACTTGTATCTGCAAATCTTCCCTACTCCACGGTCTTCCACTTCCCCCAAGGATCTCCCCTTCTACCGCAATCTTCTTCCATCTTGGCACTGCACAGCTATGGAGCCAGCCATCTTCCACACCATCCGCCCTGGCTATGGCACGGGTGTTCAGCCTTGCCCAACCGTGTCCCAGACAGCCTGGCCAGGACCAACCCCTGGCCTGACCGGGTTTACCCGTTTCAAGCTGAGCCCAGGGTGTACTGGTCCTCTGGTGTTTTCTGGGAGGACCTAGGGCCCTTGCACTTGGCTGAGCTAGGTCAAACTAGCTCAAAGTAGGCTACACTAAAATTGCTAAGCTAGGCTTAGACTAAGTTAAACTCCAGATGGATTTAAACCGCCAGTACATGCCTCACATCGGCCACGGGGTCGTGTCAGAGGCCGAAAAGAGACACCGGCCACCGATTTCTTTTATCTACGGCGCACTGGCGCCGACTTTTCGCCATAGGCGACGGGTTTCTTTTCAGCAAGGCTGGGGCCATGTACTGGCAGTTTAACTCCTCAAAGGATTCCTGCCTCTCCACAGTACAGCCCCGGTGCCAATGTAGAACTATCTGGTAGGTACCATACAGGCCAAAATAGAGATCTGCTAGGACAAGGCCCGGTATGGACAGTGGAAGTCCCTGGTTGTCAGTAGGTCGGGAGTCGCCATGTGTGCAGTCCTGGGCAAGTCACAGCTCAGTCCCCGTAAGGGCCGACAGCAGGCGAAATATTTGCCGGTTGTGGCAGGGCCTGGCAGAGAGGGCCAGGAGTCACGTGACAAGCATAGGCAGATGCATCAAAGGGAGGCCAGTCCCATGAACCTCGTTTTCTTTGATTCTGGCTTATGTGGAAGCTCTGCTGCTTTATTGTGCGCCAAGATCTTAGACGCGCAAACAGAGCCTGACAAGGAAGTAGTCGACAATGCTGGGTGCCATAGCTGTAGGATAGCGCATCAGAGAGAGGGAGAGTGGGTGAAGAGTCTGAAGACATTCAGAGAGAGACTGCAAGACGTAAGCGCAAGAGTAGTTAGGGGACACACACACACACACACACACACACAGAGAGAGAGAGAGAGAGAGAGAGAGAGAGAGAGAGAGAGAGAGAGAGAGAGAGAGAGA